GCCTGTGAAATCTTAATAAGCACTGTTGACTAGAAGTTCTGTAGTTCTGGTGTTTAGACTTTGACCAGCAGGCCTTACATTCAGAGAAGAGAAATGCATCATGGAACACACCATGGTATATCAATAGATTTCCTTAATATTAACACTAAGATCCTGACAAATGCTGCAAGAGAAATTGCGTTATCAAATATTTGCTATTATTGTAAAAATTATTGTTGAATGTAAAAATAAAATGTTTATCATTCTAGAGAGGGAAGTGAAATATAAATGAAATCACTTTCAGATCCAGTTTATGTGAATTATGCTGCTATCGTGTATAAAACTTTACACTGAAGAAGAGAGAGAGATTTACTGTGTTCATCTGCTGTGATAGAGCAACGATTCCATCAGAAATTTCATATATTAAGGGTTTTGGAAGAATGTTGTTCTTGTGTTGATTCATGGTGTGTGAAGTTTTTTCTCTTCTATTTATAACTTTTAGTACCTTTTCCCCACATAAGCGAGCCGGTATCATGTTGATTTTATCACAAACATTCTGAGGTGGCCCCTGTCAAATACAGCATGACTGGCTATGTTCGTATGAGGCCTGTGAAAGATTCAGATTCTACTTTCCTACCTATCACATGAAAGAAATAACACTTATGAAAAGTTTGTCAGATGACTAGTTGCTACATTTTCAGTTCAGTTGAATGTAAAGTGTAGAACAAATCCATAATCTGTCAATATTAGAATATACTATGGTCTTTCAACGTCTGCATTTTTTGCACTTGTTAGTTGATTGTGTTCTCTATAATGACTCACCAGTTTGTGGTCTGTTGCATTCACCTTTGTACTTTGTATTTGCTTGGAACTTTCTCTATTGCTTTTTGCAAGAGAAGAACATCAAAATACTTCTGATGTCCTGGGCTGAACTCCTGCATGGAGAGTACATACAATAATGGTTGTTAAGGCAGTTTCTGTGAAGTTCAGACTCACATTACTAAGATCTAAGGCAGGGGTGTCGAACTCATTTGTTATGTGGGCCGGATCTGACATAAATGAGACCTTGTTGGGTCGGGCCATGTGTGTCATAAAATGTAATGCTAGGTAGCAGAGATATAAACTTTATAAAGGACACAGACAAACACAATTAAATGCTTTTATAAACTTTAAATAAAACATGATTAAAACACTATCACTCTTGCAATATTTTGTCTATTTAACAGTCTCTGATAACTGACACCTTTTGTCAGTTATCAGAGACTGTTAATTGCATCAAAATGTCTGTGCTGTAGCAATCTTGAGTATGCTGTTCATGTATGTATCTGTAAGCTGCAAACCTACTTTTGATTTATTGACATTCATTACAGAAATCTCATGCTCAGTGTTCTGAGCCTAGGATGCAGGGAAAAACATGAAGTGGCTGGGCATTGTGAACTTTTGTATATAAGTTGCTTCATGTGCTGGTCAAGAACATGAGAAGCCATCCTGACACAGACTGAGGGCTGTTTGTTACAAAACTATAGTCTTTCCCAGAGAAATAGCTACAACTTCCTACAAAGGAAGTGTTCCGGGTGAACCTGGTCTGGACACACACTCTCAACCTAATCCACCTCACTGGCTTGTTGCTATTTCTTGTCTAAAATAGTTCACATTGATTTTTTTACTGAGAAAGATTGGATCATGTGGACGTGAATACAGTGAAAAGGGGGAGGGAACCCAGTTGCACCCAGGAGAGCCCTGGCATAAGGGGCCCAACAGAATGCACACACACTGTATGTAGCAAGGCACAGAAAAGCTCATACCTTGAACAAAACTGTTGGTGCCTGATATTTCTCCCATGCGATTGAGGTATCTCAGCACAGCAAGCTCTCCCTCATTCCCTCCCTCCCTCCAGGGAGGAGCCTCAGCTAGTGGAAGGAAAGAAAGGCTTCCCTTTGTCTCCTGTATACAATTGAGGCAGCCTAGCCAAGAAGTGAGCTCTGGCTGGTTCCCTCCCTCCCCCTGGGGGGAGGAGGAGAAGCCTCAACCAGTGCTTTACCAGACTGTCTCAGTCACACAGGACAGGCTTGCCTATCTATCTCTCCCGTGCGATTGACAGAGTCTGGTAAAGCGAGCTGTGACATAGCAGCAGCAGAACTGGAAAAGGAAGCAGGAAACAGCAAGGTCCTTGTAGTCGGGATAGCAGCACTCCAAGGGCCTGATCCGGCCCATAGGCCGCATGTTTTACACCCCTGTTCTAAGGTTTGATCTTGAAAGTAATGTTAGAGGGTGGAGATGAAGAGCTTGACTGGAAAGGTAGTATATATTCTTGATTTTAATGACCCATTTAGAAGAAGGTTATACAGGGTTGGTTTTTTTTTAATTAGAAGACATGAGAACTGTGCTGCTTCTTGGATCCGGGGTCCCCAGCATGGTGCCTTTCCTGGTACTTGCCAATTTTTTTTAGAATGTGGGCGGGGCCTGGTAGGTCGATTGGCCAGCAGGGTTTCTGATTGTCCACTGGAGACCTGATTGTCTGTGCAGATTAAAAGGCCTCCCGTTAAACAGAGCTTCTGCCTGGAATGTTAAAGTGTTACTATTATCATTCTGCATAACCTCGCTCCCTGACATTGTGTGGTTGGCTTCTTGTGGCAGCCATTTTGTGGTTGTGCCCACCATTCTGTGTCAGAATTCCAGAGGTGTTCACAGGCTCAAAAAGGTTGGGGACCCCTGTGTTAGATCATAGCAATGATGCTAAACATGGTTTCTGTGTGACAAGTAAGAGTCTTCCCTTCCCAGCAGCATCCAGGACCACTTTCCCTGCACACTGGG